GCGACACTGAGGGTTGCGATCCGTTGCCGGACACGAAAAAAGACAAAAAGGAAAACAAAAAACAAAACAAAAAAAAACTTAGGCTTCTTGGTCTCAGTTTAACTCACTTAAGCATAATATGAAATTAGTATTCTAATACACAGGCTATTAAAGATTGAAAAAGATTAAAAAACATAATGTATTTTTTAACCATAACATATTGCCATTACATATCCTAAAGTTAAAAATATAAATGGTTGCTTCTTTCCTGTTGAGCTCTAATTCTCATCTTAATTTCCATCAGTTCTACTTCTGCCCTTTATTCTATGCCTTTTCAGTGCTCACTACCACTTCTGTGTTTCCCCTGATCACATTATAATTTTCCATCTGTATGCATAATTGAATTATTTCCCTTAATATTACTAGCTATGACTTTTTCCTGTGTCTAAGTTCCATGCCTCAAAGTATTGGGCTTCCCTTTGCCCAGGTAGTCTTACCTCCTTTCAAATAGAAACCAATTTTGACATTGGCTTGGCCTCTTGGCATGTGCAAACTCTAAAGTCTAGTTGGCTTGATATGTTTTATTATTTGTTTTGTTTTATTTAGGATTAAAAATAATTCCAACTATAAAAACTTAAATATTATAAAACTATTTAATGAGGAAAACAATTCTTTATAATGCCTTCCCAATTGATAAATATTATTCAGTTTAGCATATGTATAAATATGTTTATATGTGTAACATATGGATTTCTTTTACTGTGCATATACTATCATGTAGTTTTGAAAATTATTTTCTAACAAAAATGGAATTATGTCATTATATATGACTTATCTTGTCTCTTAAGATGATTGTATTGTACCATAATTTAAGCAATCTATAGGATATTTGGGTTGTTTCCATTATTTTACTGAAGTAGTGCTACAATAAATATCCTTGGCCATATAGCTTTGTGTATTTGTTTGTGTCTTTCTGTAGGGTAAATTCCTAGAAAGTAGAATGGGTAGGTTAACGTATATGAACATTTTAAAGATTTAATGAAAATTCTAGTTTAAGATGGTAATCTGAACACATGTTTTCTTTCTATCCTTTACAATTTCACGAAAAATATGAAGTACCAAAAGAAATAGAAAAAATAACAGCAGTCTGCTTAACAATGTCTGCGATTTCAAAAAAATTTCTGGCATGTTTTTAAATGAAACAGAAACTATGACTACAAGGAGGTTCCTTACTGGAACACTGAAGAGGCTCTAGGCCCAGAGTTGGCAAAAGATGAAATGCAGTAGTGAGATGGAGTATTTTAAAAGGGAATTAATTCAGCCAAAAATTAAACAAGTGCTCAAAGAATGATGGAGAAATAGCAAAAGGATACAGGAGTCAACATGGAGAGACTCCCAATAGTCAAATCTTGTACAGTTTAGGCAATAAAGTGATTAATGCTACTAAGGGATACCTATAGAATAAAAATCAGAATCCCTGAGTCATGATGATGCAAATAATTTAATAAAAAATAAATGGGAAAAAGGGAAAGCTCTTAATTACAGTAGCATTCCAACTAATAAATGAAGGAATGATGAACTAGAAAAACAAGAACAACTCAATCCCAAAATTAGTAGATGGAAAGAAATAATTAATATCAGAGCAAAACTAAATGAAATAGAAACCCAAAAAACAAAACACAAGATCAGTGAAACAAGTTGTTTATTTGTGAAGAGAAACAAAATAGAGAAACCATTAGCTAGGCCAACAAAAAAAAGGAGATAGAAGACCCAAATAACAAAAGTCAGAAATGAAAGAGAAGGCATTATAATGATACCACAGAAATACAAAGTTTCATTAGAGATTATTATAAACAACTATACACCAACAAATTTGAAAACTTGGAAGAAATGGATAAATTTCTGGACACACAAACAACCAGGACTGAACCAAGAAATCATAGAAAACCTGAACAAACCTGAAATAATGAGCAACAAGATTGAAGCAGTAATCAGCAGTCTCCTAACAAAGAAAAGCCCAGGACCTGATGGCTTTACTGCTGAATTCTACCAAACCTTTAAAGAGGAATTAACATGAATTTTCTTCAAACTATTCCAAAAAATTGAAACAGAGGCTGTTCTCCCCATCTTATTCTATGAGGCCAGCATCACCCTGATCCCAAAATCAGACAAATATACCACAAAAAAACCCACAGGCCAATATCTTTGATGAACACAGACACAAAAATCCTCAACAAAATATTAGCAAACGAAATATAGCAACACATCAAAAAAATTATACACCATGATCAAGTGAAACAATCCCAGGGATGTAAGGACGGTTTAAC